CCAATCGGAGAATTTTAAACATGCATCATCGTCATGCAAACTGCCAACTAATCACCGCCACTTCTTTGAGAAAGTACATTTAAATTTATTATTTTTATTACGTGATGAAGTTTAATTTAGGACCAATCACAGCCCTAAATACAGCATGCTTAGTTAATCTTCATCTTAATGCTGATTCAAAACACAGAAGCACCTCTAAAGTTGTGCTCAGAGCACTTATGCAAACTAGAGGGAACATTTTTAGAGAAATTAGCCAACAGTTTCAATAACACAGCCTAGACAGTGTTTTATATAGACTGTACTCAGGCAGCCCCTTCAAGTATACTGACAGCCGCTCAAGCCTTCCATTTAAAAAACTCCAGAATAATGTATATTGTTATGAATAAACAAGGGCAAACTTCACGTAACAAGTTGAAATACCAGCTGTGTGTGTTTCAACATTTATTTGGCAACGCAGCACATTCAGAAAAGTATTTACATTACAAAGTTACTAGATAATACATGGCTTAGGCTTTTCTTTTTCATTCCCAACATGTCTTATTTGAAGTAAGGAGCAAGCCCCCAGATGCTCAACCCTAGGTATACTTCAGACCTGTCAGAAAGACTGCTACAAAAATGCTAAAAAAAACAGCTTTCAAAGTCCAGTGACTCATTAAAATGCCTTTAGGTTTTCAGAACTTGCTGCAATACTTATCAAACACAAATCAACAGTACTGTGTTTCAGTGCAGCAGTAATCAAAATCTAAACACTGCATGCAGATATGCAGCACTCAAGCAGGTAAGATATTCACAGCAGGTGGCAGATGTTACGTTTTAAGACTAGACTCTTACCTGACGTTGCACAAAGGACTGTTGAACACCCTGGAGTATTGCAGCAGAACCGTGTAAAGGCTCACACTGCAGCAGAGTAAGCAGTAAGACTTTCGGCCCATACCTCCAAACACTGAGAGCTATGAGTTATGCACTTACAGGCAGGTTAGCATAGCCACATTCCTTTGTCTGTCAGCTTTCCTCCACCTCACTGAGAACTTCCTATGTGAGTGCCATAGCAGCATACTTGGAACAGTATCCATCTATGGTAAGCATCCCTCTGTTTAGTCAGAAGCACATTGCATGAGTTTATACTTAAAAAAGACATTCTAACTGCTATAGAATTTAAGCCACTAATCCTTCAACAATTCACAACTCACTTCAAAAGCACATCATTAATGAACTCATTCATCACTGCTGGGTTTGGTTTATTTCATCTCTGAGAGCAAAGCTCACACTGCATGACTGAGAGGTTTGTACAGATGGAATGAACTCTAGAACTGTCCTAATGTACTCAATGTACACACTGAGAGAGCACCGGTGCATCAGGGGCACAGACACAGTCCAGAAGGAATAAATACACAGCCACTTAGCAGTTAGCACACTAGTACTTTCTCCTCTACTCAGTCTGGCAAATATCTAAATGGACAGACATTTGCAGCCTCCAGTTGGCCTGGCTAGCAGTAGCAGTCCCATGGGTGAAAAAAGTCAGCTGTTAATTAGGTCTTTAACCTTTGGAGGAAAGCTCTCAAAACAACGGTCACCAAACATGTTGAGTCCTAAGAGAAGGCCACTAACACGAGATCACCATTCAAAGAACATTCAGTAGCCTACTCGAGTGGGTTCAGGTAAAATGGCACAGTTTATGTGCCCGCTGGCCAAAGTTTGATTTGGCAAAGTTACCCAAAGCCGCCCCCCACCAATCCAATTAGAGAACAAACATATTTTTATTCTATAAAGTTACATGCAAAGGTTTGAACATCCCTAGTCAAATAACATGTTCTGCTTATTTTTGGCATGCTAATTTTAGTCCACAACTTCTATTTATATGCTGAGTTTAACATGTTAGAAAAATAATACAAAAAAATATAAAAAGTACCATAACTTTTGCACAGCCAAATTTTTACTTTTCATTTTTTTTTTTGTTGAAATTAGCAACTGAACTGTAGTTCTACAGTAAGGTTGTGTGCTTAATTTCAGGTGCCTTTGAATATGACTGCACATAACCTGATTCTTGTATTCCTTTTAAAATTGTATTTTTAAGTATCTTAGTAACAAAATATACATATAATATTATAGAATACATTTTTTAAAAATCTGATTTAAAACCTGCCACCTTCTTTATTTGAATATGATTCTTTTTATTTTTGCCTTTTTGGCCCTCGGCCCACTTTGGTCCCCCAACCCAAAAAGTTTTGGTACCTCCTTCATAAGCCCTGAATGACAAAGCCATTATCTTACTCTGTTTAATTAGCAAATTATTTTGCTCATTTAGAAAGCATCAGCATTACTGTATCAAGTTTAACTGATACCTTACTTATATCTTTACAGAAGCAACATCCACAATAATAAAAGCAGCAATAACAACAACTACATAGTCATCCCAAAAGAAAGGCATAAGAGCTTTTGAATTCCTTTTGCAGATATTCACCAATCCATATAATTCCAATATAATGTTGTTAAATAACATGTTGTTAAAGGAGTATTTGTTAAGATTTTCCCAGGATGCTGCAGTCATAAATCAACTTTGACAGTGGCATTAAATCCCTCCTAACTCTGAGTCAGCGGTGATTACAGCTTCAGGAAACAGACATCAGGCACTCCTTTATTGTACAAAGTTAAAAATACCCCAGGCATGGATGCCCTCCCCTTGTCACAAAAACAGTAGCTGAGCAAGAGCCTGTCAGGCTGCCTCCTGTAAGAGATCTTTATGGTGTCTATGAGCTCCCCTCTCATGAATTAAAGCAGCCTGACGTCTTTAATGGCAGAGGAATGAGTGAAACGCCACTATGTTATAAGCAGACATCCAAACATGCAGAATGCATTAGATTAAAAAGAGAATTATGCACTGATGTTAATAATATTTAGATCCACAAAGAAGGAAAAAAACGAAGTAACTGAATTCCATTTAATTTCATATCTTTCTGGTCCTTGACACTACTCCAAGTACTAAACCACTACATTCTCTTGAGAGCTTTCTCAAATAAATATTTGCAGGCACTTTATTTATTTATTTATTTTTTATCTTGAGTAATGCTGACCTCAGCTCAGTATGGGGAATTATACCTATATCGCCACACTGAAGGGAAGTTTGATGGCACTGCAATGAGTTCTTGGTCAAATATGAGAAAACTGTATAAACTGAAATAGCAGTGCAATATATGTGCTACTAATACACAAGCACTACTTCAGTGTAACTAACTAGTTACAGAGTGCTCTTTTGATTAGCCGACTACAGTCAGATCAAGACAGTGATGTCCTGTGAAAAGTACTGTACGGTCAAGCCCTTTTGAAATGTCAAGAATGTAATCAAGGGGCTTTTTGGTGTGCACTCAGCTAAGACGGTTGTATCCTATGGCCGGAAACCAAGTTGATTTTCTGTGATGTCATAGTCTCTCGACTGCTGCATACAAAAGCTCATCATCTGTCTCAATATGCCACATGATAGCAATTGTTTGACTTTTACAGTCACAAATGGTTACATTTTTTTTGCAAAATACCTTTCTATATGTTTCTGTGGCAAACTCTGAAGTTTTTCTTTAGACTGAGCATTGGGGAATAATACCTTACAAAAGAATAACACATTCGCTCCAAAACATTCTTTTCAAACTAACACTTATAGGCCAGATACATTCTTAAAGGACACTTGTTCTGTCCAACTTCAATAGCTTATAGTTTCCACCGACCTTTTATAAACATGATGAGGCCACAGATGTATTGCTCAGTAAGTTTTCATAGAAAATGTTGAACAAGTCAGAATGGCTGCTGCACCTCATATAAATAGAATAGAAAACAAGTACAAATAGAAACAGCCCCTTCAAATAGAACGAATGCTGCCTTCACATGTGTTGATGTTGTGGCGGAAGAAGCTTTATTCAAGTCATTTGGTTGGTATTGTATCATTCAATTTTGCTGATATATCAACACTGATACTGATACAGAAAGACACTGCATGTAATGTAAAGACATTTTGGATTATTTACTACAATGAATGTGTCAACATAGAAGTATTAGATCTTGTCTTTGGGGAAGAAATGCTTTCCTATTTCACGAAAGAGTGAATTAACATAAATGATGACTCTTTCAAACTTCACATTTCTGAACAGTAATTTAAAATTGTTTTTTTGAATTTGAATTTTTTGAGAACTGCATAGGGCATAGGGCATGTGAGTAAGTGAGTGAACTATTATGAGCTAGATAACAGCAAACAGCACCGTTGAAATAGGAATAGACCCTTTAAATAGAACAAATGCAGCTACTGAACATATCATTACACACGTTGATGTTGTGGTGGACGCAGGTTTAATCATTTTCTTGTTATTTCACCTGAACAGTATCTTATCATTCATTTTACCCATTTATCAGAGATACTGAACACAATGTAATGACACTCTGGATGATTTATCACATTTAATTTCGCTATTAAATGTGTTAGCACAGAAGTTTTAGATCACATCTTTGGGGAAGAATGTTCTTTCCTGTTTCATGGATTAATCTTGAATAATAATTCCTTCAAACTTTGAATGAACAGTGACTTTAATTCTTTACGCAGTACATTGAACTGTTTGGGGCACAGTGAGTGAGTAAATGAGTGAACCATTATGAGCTAGACAGCAGCAAGAACTGACACTGGGATGTGACTGGGTAATAATTTAGAAAAAAAAAAAAAGTAACCAACGTAGCCACTACAAAACATTACTTTCAAACCAACACACATAAGCCTAAAATACTCCTGATTTATGCTTCATCTGGCAACCTTTAACAGCTTATACTTTTCACCTGCTTGTATATACATCAGTAAGTTTAAACAGATCATTCTGACTGCAAGTGCTGTTTGAAATGTGAAATTCTTCATCAGAATGCTTTGAATCCATCACCAGCAGTATAAATAGATGACAATTACCCTTTTTACCCACAAGGACCCATTCCCCTGTATCCCCCGCGAAATGCAGAGAGGACAGGCTCCTTACCAGGCATTAAGAGCGAGGCAGGCTATACGTTGGAGCAGTCAGACACGTATGTAGCCGGGCAGCCAGCTCCACTCCCTCTCCTTCCTCTTCAGCCTCGGTGGACTCAGTGGCTTTCAGGGTTAAAGTGGCAGACCACTGCCCGTTTCTGGAGGCAAAAGAGGGGGAGAAAGTGAGAGGCGAGCCCCTGCTCCTGAGCCCAACTTCTGCGGTTTGAGCTATTTTCAGACGCAGACATGCACGTCTGCAGGCTGGAAAGTTACTCCGCACCTCAGGGGAAAAGTGACAACATATACAGCATACAGAAACCGCTCTGTACCAGAAGGACAAACATCTGAGCTCTGCTGGGGCCTGATCATGCCTCCTGCTGAGAATGACCACAAAACACTAATGCTAACTGGCACGCTGCGTTCACAAAATCGGAAAATCAGTCATGACGTCTGTGGCTTGGAGAGCTACAGATTCCTTAAAGCCATGTATGCATATTTCTTTTCATGTCAGCGTTCTCTGTCAGTCTCACAAGTGCACACACACACAAACAGACACACACACACAGACACTTGTTATTCTATGCTGTGTGGACATGGGGTCACATATGTAGCTCAAAAGTCAGAGACCAAGCTTTCATTTACTTAACTGCCTCTCAAAACTGCCATTAAGTACTTCAGCATCTGGAAAAAAGCAAGAAACATAGTGCTGCTGTCCAAAGACATGTTTGTTTGTTTATTTATTTATTTATTTAATGATTTATTTCTTTTTTCACATTGTTTGAACACAGCTACTGCCCTTTACAATATGTGAAAGCTTTATCATGAATGTTTTGTTTTGGATGATATAATTAACATAAAATTAAACAGATGCCTCAACAAATAAATATAATATCTTTTTTTCAGTATTTTGTTTGTCCACGCTTTGCCTTTATTACAGATTCCATTCTTTTCCAGAGACTTGCTTTTCAGTTTTCAAACAAAATCTGCAGGGATATTTTTCCACACCTCCAAAGTTCAGTCTTAGAAATTGTTTGCATTTTCTGCTTCTCACAATCCAAATAATCCCAATTACAAATTTAAAATCATCAGATACACATGAGAAAGAAATTTGTGAGTCAGCAAACGTGTGTTTGGGTAGTTGCTTGAGTGAATGTTAGTGTCTCTATGAAGGAGAACATGATGCCAGTGACTGTTTTGAGAACAGATTTTGTTGGGAGGACACAGCTGTAACTTGTTGGTTTTAAGATTTGAAGGATAGAAGAGTGTCAGAGTGGACAAATTAAACATTGAAAAATGTATTATATTTATCTGTGAAGGCTTTTGTGTAATGTTCTGCTAAATATGTACGTTTTTCTGACACTGAATAAACAAAAGGCTGGTCTCTGACTTTTGCACAGTATATGTAACTACCTATATGTAATGTCTAGTCATAAATCTAACTCTAAGCTTAACCTCAGCGGCAAAAAATATATTTTTTGTCATGTCATGTAGGTTTCGTTATAAAGTATTTTACAAAGTCAGCATTGTTTTGCTTGTCTCGATTTTAAAGGTTACCTTTGTTTCTCTGTCGCTTTCTTACAAAGTCATTGTTGTCCTTTAATGTACAAAAACAAACACAATCACAAAGCTATGGAGAAAGTAAACAAAGTCAAGGGCCTGTGTTTCGGAAAAAACATCTCAGGTGAAGCACTCAAGAGGAGATTTTGTTCTACTTGGCTTCATGATGTGAGCTCTATTTTTTGCCTGTGACGTTTGTTACTGATGACAGTTCTCATTTATCAAGCAAGCAACAAGCTTCAGTCAAAGGAGGCCCAGTTATGTTTGGGTCATGCTGCAACGATACGAAGACAAATTAATTTGCTGCTCTAGGGTAATGCAAATTAGCTGCTCTAATCCTTAAGGGTGGCACAACTGCCAACACCATAGTCGTTATGCAGGGCACACAGCACAGAGTTGACACAACAGAGCTTTTCTCCTTTCATTATGGTTACAGTAGCTCTGAATGTTTGGAAAGGAATACTTAACAAACTGTTAAGCAAAAAGCAAACACACATATGAACACTCCTTTCAGGGAAAAAAGTGATGCACTGAATTTACTTGATACAAATGTGTACATCATTTACACATCAGTGTAATTAATAAGTAACACAAAAATGTGTGTTGATGTGATATACTGAGGTATATTTTATTTATGTGTACTCATGTGAATAAAGTAAATTCAATTAATATTTTTTTCTTCCGTACACAAATAATCTTCAGAATATCTAAGAAAAATGACCTAATGTATGTGCACTACATATAAACTATGAATTAGAAAGTGCATAGCTTCTTATCAAACATATTTCTTAAGCTGAACCATGAGATCAGGCACCTGGGAAACTGGCCTCCCTGGACCTGAGAGAAACCATCACCCAGGAGCTCAGAGAATGCGCAGTGACTGCAGGTGTCAGCACAAACCTGAGCCAAAGAAAACCACCCAGCAAAGCTAACATCACTCATATTCTCATACCGGGGATGGCTGCAGCGTTACGCCAGACGAAGCCTTTAAACTGATACTTAAAGGCTGTGATCAGGTCAGGATCCACCACACACCTCTTTCCAAAAACAGTGATGCATGCATGAAACTAGAAGACACCTAGTTTCCACAATACTACTATGGAACATACAGTAGCTGGACTTCTACTTCTAAATGCAATATGTTATATGCAACCCTCAAAGTCTTTCTCAAAATGTATAATTATATGGTTAAGATGTAAACAAAGTCATTCAAAGAGGTTTGATGCAAAATGGTTCATTGTACTTTACAGTGGTGGTGAACCAGGAGTCTCCACAATGTGTCAACAACACATACATAGCCATTTTATTTACTACCCAAAGCCACCATTGAACCTACATGTGGATTCTGAGTTTTTAAAATAAGTGTTAATGAAAGTAAAGTAGTGGTAAATCTGAAAGTTTTCTTTGGGGACTATTTTGCCTCACAGCACCCTGCATGTACCCCTCTGCATCATGCATGGATTATAAAAATGTTTCAGGCCAAAATCTTTTCACAGTTGTAAAACAATGTCTCAGGCATATTCATAACCATTTGATAGCTTTCCTGTGAGGGAGCGTTTAGAGGCATTAAACTGTTCAGACGTTAGGTTATCACCACCAGTGTGAACAATTCTGACTCAGTCTCTCTAGAATGGATCACTTCACATCAAACCACTCTGAATGACTTTGTTTACATCTTAATAAATGTTGAATTCCCCTTTTACCATGTCTCACGATCATATTTTGCTTTCTGACAGGCACTCATTCTGCCTCCTCCCACACATCATTGGAATTTTCTTGTCAAACAGTTTTCAAACAACTTTCCTCTCAGCCCTCTTTTTCCTTTTGCAAAATCACAACTATTTGATATGAAAATCTACCTTCTGTGGGAAGCAAACTGATATGACAAGAAAAAAGTGCTTAGCTCACTCTGTGTAAACACATTCCTTAATGTTTTCCACAATGAGCTGTACTGACCACTAGTTTTCAACACCAAACATGCCAGCGTAAAATCTGACATGCATTTTCAAACACAAGATGGGTTGTTTGAGAAAGCTTCATGAACATCATAAGAGGCCAATCAGTGCAGCTACAACCTTTTTTTTTTTAATTATATAAACAGTGTATGAGCCTCGTTGCCATCTGCTACCATTAAAATACAGATTTTGTAAGCTTTTGATTTAAATACACAAACAAAGAGCCCAAAATCCTTCGCTTTTATATGGATTAACAGATTATCCATTTAAACAGTAGCAGATCACAGAGCCAGCTTAAGTCTGTATCATCCATCAATAAAATGCATAACTTACAGTCTATTTGAGAGCACAATAGACACTTTTATAGTGAAATCAGCTGTTGTTGTGGCCTACAGAGAGCTGAACATGAATTAAGATTAGAGTGAAACTAATGATAACAGTAAAGTATGTGCATGTATCATTTATTATGAAGACAGTAGATGATGACAGTTTAAAATAAAATATGTGCTAAATTAATTTGTTTATTTCTGTCTTTGTTTTGAATGCTTTGATCATTAAAAAGAATAATGTTTTTGTACTTTTTTAATAATTTAATAATTTATTTTGGGATTTTAAAATGAAGACAGCAAATGCAGACATATGCAGATCAGATGTGATCCGATGCATTTCTAAATTTTATTTATTTATTTTTCTCTGCTTTGGATGAAGTAGACAGTTAAAAAATAAAATAGGAAAATGATTAGTAATATATGTTTTTTTATGGATTTCACACTGAAGACAGTAGATGCAGACATATGCAGATATGCATAGACACTTTTTATTTTATGTTATTTGTCTTTTTCTGTTTTATTTTATTCTTTTTCTTTGCCTTGAATACATTTTAATTTAAAAATAGGAAAATTATTGGTAATATATGTTTTTTTCTTTTTCAAAAAAGTACACAGTTTCCAAAAGAAAAAAAAAAAACTTCAGCAAAATTACTATGCAAATTTTTCTAGCCTCCTGCTGCTCTATTTACCAAACAGACCCTGGGAGTTGCCACTTATTGTCAAGACTTCACGGCTTTCACTAAGCAGTTAGGCCCATCTCAGTCATGTTCTGACAAAACGCAGTTTTTGGAGACCGCCATCACAACTCCTACAGGACATCATACAACTGCATGACCACATCTAAGCCATGCGTTTGATGATGTTGCATTATCTCAACCTACTCCTCTGACCTTGCATTGGCTCAGATGACAGTCACGGTGTGCAGCACATGAACAGCTCAGCAACCACCTGCGGGTGAATTTTAAACTCCGGCAGGGGAGATTTAATCATTACACATGCATACAGTCTAGTTAGAAAAAAACACTGACCAGACTTTCTCTACAACCCGATTCACTTTTTGTGTGCGTTGCCAGGCTGCTGTCAGTCCATTTTGCACTTCGTATGAAAGCAGCTGACGCCCGTGGAGCCGCACAGCAGCCTAGCCAGATGTGCAGAAGCTACTGCAGGAAGTCTGTGCTGCACCTTAAACACATGCAGTCCAACGCATGTTTACATTTCACAACAAGACACCGGTGACGGTGATGATATGCGCACTAAAGCTGCATATGAGTGGTTTTACCTACCTTGTCCAGGCTGAGTAGCCAAATAAGCGGAGCC